TCTTTTCCTTTTCAAGTTTAAAACATTTATTTAAAATATAATTTACAAAATGCTTAATATGCTGACTTAGGAGCCTACAGCGCAGGGGGAGGTGGGGTGGGCAGCTGCCCACGACACCAGCAGAGCAAGACTGCAAGTGTGTATAGCAAGCCATCAGCACTGCTGGCCTCCCTCCCATGCCCTCTGTTCAGACACCCAAGGGGTCCATGTGCACCTGTGGTATCACACGACCAGAAAACAGGACCCCAGAGGTTTCTTGAGTCTCTGCTTACCAGAAAAGCTGAGTGTAGCCCTGCCAGCCCATCCCTGAGCAGGGTATCCTTAGATAGGCCAGAGCAGGGTATGGCTGGGCTGTGCAGGGCAGGTGGATTCTGGAAGGGGCTTATGGTAGCAGATGTAGTTTTATTTCCTACATGTAGGTGGAGATCACCCTGATTGAGTGGGCTGAGAAGCATTGGTCACCAGACCTGGACCACCAGCTCCTTTGCTTATAGGCTGACATCAGAGCAGTGGCTCATGGGAAGCAGTTAGCAGGAAGGTCTGAGGCCTGACTTGTGGGGTTAGAGAGGAGCTGGGGAAAAGGGACAGTAGCATGAAGGCAGATAAAGGGGTGGTAGCCTTAGGCTTCTGCCTCCCATCCCCTTGGGGTTTTCCAAGCTGAAGTCTGCAACTTACCAAAAAAAAAAAAAAAAAAAAAAAAAAAAAAAAAAAAAAGAAGAAGAAGAAGAAAGAAAGTTATAAAAGAAAAGAAAAGTTACAGACTACCCCCCCCAAAAAAAACCACACACACACACACAAAATCAAAACTATTTTATCATCACCCCTCCCATCTCTCCCAAAACAATAGTTTTATCTTTTCTTTCTTTCTCTTTTAAAATTTTTGCCTGCAACCTCTCTATCTGGGAAGTCCAGGGCATTACTACTGGTGGGTGTTGACAGGCACATAGTGGGCAAAATCCCATCTTTGGCCAGAGGGAGGTGTGTGCATTAGTCCCTGCCCCATCGTGAATCTGCAGACACCCAACAGCCAGCCTTCTCTTTGGCTCCCTCTAGAGGGGTGGGGGCAAAGCAAAAACAGGTGGTCCCAACTGCTGAGCCATCAGCACTGCTGGCCTTTCCACCTGGTCTACTTCTGCAGACTTTTCCCATTGAAATGACAGTCTCATCTTGGGCCAGAAACTACTTTTACATGAGGGATGAACATTATACATTTAAGATGTGGACACTAGGTCAGGGCAGTGGAACAATAAAGATAGCAGCCAGCTTTTTTCCTTGACCAGTCCTGGGGGTCATTCCCCTTCTTACTGACTGAAACTCTGTTCCAGCTCTGCTCATGAACAGTTCCTGGCTTCACATAGTTATAAGGCTGTCCTATGGACTAGTCAGTGACTCAACTGGTAGCTGGCCTTTCCTCCTAAGGGGAAGATGTTGTGGAACATGGTTTGCTGGTTTTGGATGGCCTGGCATTCCCAAAGGGCCAGGCTGAGAGCCAGATGAACCAAAGGTAGAGTGAGCTGTGAAACCTAGCTTGCCACCTTGGGCGCCCTAAATGCTGCCCTAATTGCAAAACCACACCGACCACTCCAGAATGTATTTGCTGATTAGGAGTGGGGAGGCCATCTGGCTGGCTAAGGGATAAGGCACAGTGCAAGGGAAGGAATCAGAAAGCCTGAGAGGAGCCGGGTTGTACACACAGAGCTGCTCTGGGCAGCTGTCCTTCTAACCTCTTCCACCTCAAGGAGCCAAAGCAAATCTACAGGAGTCAGGGACAGAGGAGAAACAGCCTCGATTCCAGGCCTTCACTCTGGCAAAAGGGTGAAGGGTAGTCTAGGCCTCTGGAGAACCACTCTGTTACCAATCTGCAGTGCAAAACTTTAATTTTCTCAATTTTATTCAGAATGGTCTGCTCCCAAGGTACTGATTTCACAGAGGAAATGTGCCAGGTACAGTTACTGAGCTGGGGCCATCAGTGGAGATGAAGCACCACAGATCCTTAAGAGTTCAAGCCATGTTGGGGTTGGAAAATCTATTCACCCTCTGACCATACCAGGCAGATGGCTGAGAGTCCTGGAGCCAGACTCTTCTGGTCTTCCTTGTGCTGACAGTGAAATACTGAACAAGTCTCACATCTTTTGCTTCTAAGCCCAGGAGTGCCTTCCCACTCTCTGACACTTCCTGCTCTTTTCTAGAATTAGTAAACTTGACTGGTAGAGAACCACCCTGAACAGTATGGGATGGGGAAGTCTGCTCATTTTCTCTATCTCCCAAAATACCTCCCCAGGCTCTCTGACCCTATAGAACTAACTTGGTCTCTAGGCAAGGCCAAGATGCTTTGGAACTTAGCTGGGGTAGGGAGGTCTAGGCCTGGTGTGCTAATTTGTCTTGGGACTATAAAGCCCTGCCCCTTTTCTGGGAGGCAGTAGCAATACCGAAGCTAAGCTCACTCAAATCCTATTGGTTAATGTTTCTAGTGAATTTCCCAAAAACATTTTTAAGTCAAATACCAAATTACCCTTTCTCAATTAAAAGTTCATTAAACTGCTAAAATCCCACCCATGCACTTTTTCTTACAAATCAAATATTTGTATGAACAAAAGAAAATAAGAAAAAAAAGAAAGGATGTTTTCAAATGGAACTTTTTAAGTGATTAAGACACCCACTTGAGGGTGAGGGCTGGAGTTCATATTTGTGTTTTGAAATCCCAAATTAATGAGCATGATAAACTGTTATTGGTGGCACTGGCTTTACCCCAAGTGGCCACGTGGCACTGTTTGACTCTACCCTAAGTCCTTGACAGGTCCCCCCAACCCTTTCCTGATTCCCACCCTTTCCCTTTCCATTGACTTAGAGCAGCGCTTGTAGATGTGCCAATCACAGAGGGAAGACATAAAGGGAGGAGAGCACAGTGCGTGAGGTTCGAGGTCCCAATGGGCACAACAAGGAAGTACACAGCACAAGTAAGTTAGGTGTTCTCTGCTCTAATCCAGCTGTTTGCCAGGTCAGTGCAGCCTGTGGAGGATGACCTGGGAGGAACTGAGGGTGACACCTTTTCTTGCCTGAATTTAACTACACTGTTTGAAGCCTTGTTACTCATCAGGACCAAGAGTGTCTGATCACATTATTGGGCTGGCTCTTGTCTTTGGGTTGGGCTATCCTGGTTGGCCTGTCAAGCATGAATTTCTCCTGCTCCTCCTCCAGCAGGGCCCAGGATCCACTTCTGGACTGCTGTGTGCTGTGTCCCTGCTGTGCCAGGGACTTGACTGGGAGGGCTGGCCCTGCACTGTGCTTGAGACTTGACCAGAGGGCTGGCCTCTGCTGTGCTAGGGGCTTGACTGGGAGGACTGGCTGCTGGTGGAGCAGAGGCTATTGACCCCACCAATCTGGCGGGCCTCTAGAGTATGTGGATCTGTGGAGCGGGCCCCATGGGAAGACCATTGTCCTGAATCACCATGGCTACTTTGGGAGGAGATTTGGATTTCCAGTTATCTGCTGTCTCCTCTCAACTCTCAGCAACTTCCTCATTTTCCATCTACTTGCCACTTTCCTCCCTCCATTCTTTTTTATTCATATTTGATTTATTAGTCACTGTGTTGACACTGGAGACCACTGAATCCTCCTGAAAATGCTTTTGCCCCCCTCACAGGTTTCCAGGTCACCACCCTCTCATCACTTTCTTCTTAATTCCCTGGCATTCTGTCTCAGTCTTTTCAGAGCTCTAATCTCTTCATACTCTTCCTGGGATGTCCCATCTCTTCTCATGGCTTCAATTGTCATGTTTATGCTGGTAAGTCAAGAACATATATTTGCAGCTCAGACATCTCTACTGGGCTTCCAACTCACACATCCAACTACTTGGGCATCTCCACTTAGAAGTACCATACATGCTACAAACCTGCCCCAAATGAAATGGAATTCAGTATCTCCTGCCTCAGACCTGTTGTTCTTTTGTGTTCCCTAATGGTAATGGCAGGCATCTTAGCAAGAAACTTCACAGTGGTCATCATCTCTTCCTTTACCTCAATCACTTACATCTATTAATCAGTCTCCAAGTGTGATTGAATCTATGTCCAGACTCACTTTCTCCATTGTCACTGCTACTACCCCTTTTCAGGTCACCATTTTCACTAACTTGGACAACTGAAACAGCCTGTTAACTTGTTTACATGCTTCCTATCACGACCTCCCCTTTGTTTTCCACATTGCAGCTAGATAACATTTTCTAAATACAAATCTATTTTTCTCCTCTTTTTAATACCCTTCAATGTCTGCTCTTTACCTTGGAATAATGTCACTTAATCAAGCATAGATCTTCCTGAAGGAAAGGAAGCAAGAGAAATGCGTCTCTTCTCTTCCTACACAGGCCTATATTTAACCTAATGTGTTTGTCTGAGTGGTTAGATTCCATGGAGATTGGTGCCATAGAAATCAATGAAAGAACCAAACAGTGCAGGCAATGGCACAAACATGCAAAGAAGGAATGAGAGAAAGAAACTAAGAGAAAGGAGAAGAGATAGTGAGAGAGAAGAGGAGCAATGGAGAAAGAAAGCAAGAGCAAGAAATAGCTAGCAATAGAGAACACAAGAGCAAGTGCCTAAGAATCTTGAAGGTGAAGCACTAGGGAGACGGGCAGTGGGGCAGCAGCCTCCTTGGCAACCAGCGCTCTCTGGCAGTGGCAGTACTGCCTATGCAGTCCACCCTGGCCCCGTGTATTTCTCTGGAGAGGTTGGGGGAATTACAATTGGCCTCAGAGCATCTTCAAGGTCCTTAAACAGATTGTCAGATATGACTGATCTCACAGCAGAGATGGCCCCTTACATATTCCAAACTGCCTCAATCTGTGGTGTAAGTAGGGGAATGTCAGAGTAGGATATTAAGATTTTTGTTTTTCAAAAACAAAGTATAAGCACCTGAACTGAAATAATAAATAAATAGGTAAGGCTATTTTATTCTCAAATTGTCCACATTTCAAAATATAAATTCAAAGTTTGTGTTGAGTACATATGTAGACATGAGAGCACGAACGTTTCTTACTTCCAATTAACTACCACAAAAGCATATATCTGTGCCAATGTGACTTACTTGGTCTGCTGAAAATAAAGAAGCAAAGATAAAAAATTCTTGTTTTTTTTTTTTTATTTCTACAAAACTTCTCAGAAACTAAAAGTTTGACTATCCATGTAGTCTTATTTCATAAAGGCTGAAGTGAGATATGCCATTTTTTCCCTGGCTTCCTCAATGAAAGATGAATCTATAAAGGAAGTGAGGAGGCTGAGGAGAGAGAGAGAAAATATTTTAAGCAACAAGAGAAGTCCAGTTCTGAAACGTGTACATTTTTAAGTCTGAACTGTCATAGTACATGAAGAACGAATAAAAATTACAAGTATTAGAGGTGTCATTATAATACACCTTGTTATAATTCAGATTAAAATCCTATAAAATCTTAATGATGACTAGCTACAATTTTTTCAAGTGCTTACTAATGTAGTCACTGCATTAAGTGTTGTAAATCAAGATTTTATTTGATCCTCTCAATAAACCTGAATTTACCAATGAAGACTCAAGGCTCAGTGAAATTAAACAGCTTATACAGATGCACACCACAGAAAAAGGTAGAGCTGACATTTGAGTGACAGCAGCCTGACTCCAGAACTCTTAAGTGTTATACCACATCCCTTATCCCCTGAAATATCCTTTGCCTTGAAAATATGATGTATAATTTGTTTAGCCCATAGAAGAGGTGCGTATGAATTATATTGCCTAAAAGCTGCAAAATAAGTTCCATTCTTCAAAAAAAAGTTCTTCAAATATTAAAATTTAACTGTGGAATGGGAGGGGAAAGACTGGAAAGATGGAAAATAACTATATAAAGAAGCACATGGAAGGCATTCTGTTAGATGTCAGTTTTTAACTCATTCCTACTGATTTGTTAGCACAGTTTTTTAACATTTTAGCTATTTTTAAATTTTACATTTAAAAAACAGCTTTATTAAGATACAATTCACATATTATAGAATTCACCCATTTAAAGTGTATAATCCAGTGATTCTTAGTATGTTTACAGTTGTGGTGATGGTAGCACAGCTTTTTGATAAGAAAGTCTTTTGGATCTCTCCTCCCCTACAAACAGTATCAAAAGCCACAAATATTTGCATATTAAATAAATACACAAACAGAAGTTCATTATGTCAGTGTTGTCCATTCTCTAAGCCAAATAGCCTGCTGTTATGACAATTGGATTGGGGTATGGACTGTCACAGGATTAAAGTGTTCCCAGGTGAGGCTGTACCCTTTCCATGAGTAACAACTAGCATTGATTGTAAGTCAACAGTACTTAGAACTGCTCCCCACATTGCATCAGGAAGTTAGATCACAAGTCATAGGCTTGGTTTTGCCTATGATGAAGTCTACTATTTGTAATACCGACTATTAGGTCATTTCTTAGATAGTCCTCTGTACCCTTGTCAAAGCACATACTATTAATACTATGATGATAAGCACCTCAATGTGGTTTCTTATATACATTAGGTAAAAAATATCTGTTACATAAATTATGAGAGTCACTACTATTTATTGAATATGTACTTTGCCATGTACTTCACAAATATCTGCCAATATCAGAGGAATCACGCAAAGGAGGCAATATCATAGTCACTTTTCAGATATGGAAACTAAAGACTCAAGGCTAAATGGCTAGTGTCTTGCAGAACAGAGATTTAAGGCCTATTCAGGCTGATTCGGTTCGCTTATTTCTACTGTGGAAGGAAAGGAAGGGAGGAAGAGAGAGAAGGAAAGAAAGGAAGAAGATCTAAAACAATTTTTTTTGAACTTGCACAACTTCAGGATTTCACCTCTGCATGCATTTTGACAACAATTATCAGAAAAGGAAATTATAATTTGTGAGTTTTCAGTTAACCAAATTGTTTGCATGACATGCAAAACATTGATCAGACATGCCCATAATAAGTGAAAAGAAACACTGTAGGCAGATGTTTTTCAAAAGGCAAATAAGGGTAAGCAGGGTGCTGAAGATATTAATTTTCATGATTGCTGCCTTTGTTGTTTTGCTTCATTGTTCTTCACCCTGCCTGGTCTAAAAATACAAAATAACATGAGAGGAAATTAGTTTTCAGGGCCAGTTATTTTTTTAAAAGAGATCAGAAAAACGAGAATCAAGGGTAGAACATCTCTTTTCCCCTACAGTTTCCACACCTGGCCTCACAGTGGGTATATGTGGCTCTACCTCAGCTTGTCCCACTGACAGGCCATTCGTCCTCAAATTCAAAGACCAAGAGATAAGCTCAAAAAGATTGCAGCCTAAGAACAACTTGATTTTTGGTGAATTCCAAATTGGTTTTCCTCTTAAAAATGGCTTCCATACATTTCTTTTTTTTTTCAGTGAACAATAGCTAACTTTTAAAAGAAATGTGAACCTTCTTGGTCAAGAGTTTAGGAAGAAGAGAAGGCTTTGCCATCTGTGAATAGTACGTTATAATAGAATCTCTCTGGGAAAAGGTTGTCTGTGTTGCTTGCCTTTATGAGATGACATTTAAATAAAAGTACTGGTTCACTTTTTATTGATCTTTGTACATTACAAGGCATTTTGAAGGAAAATGTGGTGTGAATAGCAGAATCACGTGCTGTTTGTACAGATGGAGAGCCTCGCAGGCTCTGTGTGCCCATCCGTGGTGGCTGTAAGCTATTGAAGGAAATTGGGATCCTGGGGCTTCCCGCCTATGCTGTTTATCTCACAAAAATTCAACACACAGATGCATAGTCATTTCCATAGTCTTTTTATTTCAAGATCTCAAAAACAAGTTTCTATAGGTATATGTTGTATAGGGGGGCTGCTGGGGTATTAATAATGAGGAAGGGGAGATGGAAAGAGAAAGAGAGCACAAGAGCTCACAACTTAGGGTAACATTTTTGATATTTAAGCTATCTAATGTTCAAACTTAAGATTTTCTGGCTGGGTGTAGTGGCTCACTCCTGTAATCCTAGCATTCTGTGAGGCCGAGATGGGCACATTGCTTGATCCCACTTCAAGACTAGCATGGGTAACATGGTGAAATCCCATCTCTACAAAAAATATAAAAATAAGCTAGCCGTGGTTGTATGCACCTGTAGTCCCAGTTACTCAGGAGGCTGAGGTGGGAGGATCACCTGAGTCCAGGCAGTTGAGGCTGCAGTGAGCCATGATTGTGCCACTGCACTACAGCCTGGGTGACAGAGTGAGATCTTGTCTCAAAAAAAAAAAAAAAAAAAAAAAAAGATTTCCTTTGCCTAGAGATGATGCTGATCTTGGTTACCCAGTTTCCTTATAAACTACCATGTTAGGAATACATTCACTCACTTACCAGCTGAAGACATACCTGAGAAAATTCTGTCTTAAACTGGAAAAAGCTGCTCCTCCCTAACTTAGCTGACCAAGCTGAATTCACAGCCATAATAGGAAGAACCTGTTTGTCTCCTTGAGTTACTTCTGCCAAGCTTGCTGAAGTGGGAGTCTGTTTCTGATAACCTGACCAGATGCAGCAGGCTAAAGACAAGACAGACTCTAGTGCTGACCTTCACCGAATTTTTACATGTTATAATATCATTATAATATCAAAATCACACCCAGGATAACATGCTAATGAGACATGTGACCCACGGAGAAGCAGGTGCTAAAATTTCCCCACCTTTACACGCCTACACGTTGCTCCTTTTTCCACCTCAACTTCTTAAAATGACAACCACACTTTTCAGAGAGCTAGCACCAGGATCCTATTCCCACATACTGCTCTCTTGCATTGCCAGAGATGCAAACCTATTAAACTTTGCCTGAGATAAGTTTTGGTTTGGCGTGGTGTTAATTTCTATTTATGTGTGAGCCAAGAACTTAGGGTCCGAGCTGTGATCACACAGGTTTCCCTTTCTTACCCAGCCTATACTCAAACTTCCTTATCTCTTGCTATAATCTTCCTTTTAGCTTGCAGTTTATTACCCAAGGGTACTCACCTTCACTACTTTTAAAATGGAAGTAGACCATTTGCGATGGGAAATAACATTTTGCAAATATTAAAAAAATGCCTCTTACCTTTCTTTTAAAATCTTAGTATCTTGTAGACGTCTAACCTCTGAGCAAACCTTGAGGTTTAAGTCCCAGGGCAAAACAATAAGCTTAAATGGCAGGCCAAAGGGACAGTTTTCCAAATTTATTTAGTTTATCAAGAACTAAGTCTTGAGATCTCAGGTGATTGAGTTGTCTTCTCTAAGGGGGAAGGGACATGGCTACACTAGGCAGTGTAGCCCATAATTAGTATGCAAGTAGAGATATGTATAGAGTAACTAAAGGGAGAGAGACAGAGAAATGGAGAGACAGAGAAGAAAAAGATGAACTTCTAAGAATATGGAGTTTGTTTGAGCCTTTTCTCAAGATGTATTTATTTTATGTATGATTTCTGTGTAGGCATTCTACAGATCCCTTGGGTTATTCAGGGTAAGATTTAGGACTGCGTATCCACCAACAGACAGAATAAACAAACAAACAACAATAATGATAAGACTAAGTGGATGTAAGGGTAATCCTGTTCCCTTCCCTGAGTTCCAGCCAGGATCCTAAAAATAGGAGCTTCCAACTCCTGTAATCTTTTAAGGAAATATTAGGAACATAGCTGGTGTGTGACCTCCTGCCCCCATAGAAGGGGTGGCAGACTCACCTAGGGAAACCAGTGAGAGGTTAATACCATTGGGCTGGCATTTCATCTCCGGGCAGGCATGCATTAGCAATCACCACTCACTTGTCACTCTGCCTCTCATAATCTAGCTTGTGCTTCTTGTCCCCTGGATCAGCAAGGCTCCAGCTCTCCAGCACCTCTCATTTCCCATGCAATAGCCAGAGCCTTGTGCCTTCCCAATCAGAGTCCAATTTAAGCTGTTTGTCACTACATCCAAACCATTAATGGAACAGATATTTTGGTCTTATATGGTCCCTTGTTTCTGTTGGTTGTTCAGAACCCAAAAGAGAGATGTCATCAATTAAACTGCCAAATCCCCAAAATGGAGAGCCAGATTTCCACTTTGTTTTTGCAAAAACCTGAACATTTTCTCCCTTCCTAAGGGCAATTTCCAGTGTTCTAATTTCCCTTGGATATGCTGGCAGATGTAAATCTAGATAGGTTAAACCTCTTACGCATTCATTCGGCCTATGTCAAACCCTCAACAAGATGTTCTTACTCTAGGGGGTCCACAGATGGGGTGCAAGTGCCCATGAATCTCTTAAATGCAGG